TACACATTAAAGCAATTCATAAATAATTCAAAATTCTTTTGAAAGTGAAATTATGTTTTGTAACAATCGTTTGCATAACTTATATCCCAATACAGACATCTAATAAAGCTATAAAACCGAAAAATATTTATATTACATAATATGGTTTTGTCAATAAAAATAGTCACATAAGTCTTAACACATAAAATAATTTAAACGCTATTTTCTTAAACACTAAGTCTTTTAAGGCTTACATCTGATGCGTAAAATGGATATCAATTTACTGTTTAATGCAAACAAGTCTTTGGATTTAGAAATTTAATACTCTTTTCCAATAATAAAAAATATGTTGTTTTTTAAGTTTTGAGAAACAGAATTGAAATTTATATTCTTATTATATGAATTCTTTTTATTTAAGAAATCTATAAAAAATATAAATAATATTATATAATTATAAATTCAATGGAAAAACCATCTGAAAAACAAAAACATGACCAAAATTTTAAACATAAAAGTCTAAAAAATTAATTCAAAACGCGTTTTGAGGCAAAAATAATTGACTTCAAATTCATTAATCAATTAAATGAATTGAATTTCATTTAAAGGAATCGATTAATAGTAATTCAAACACAACCACAGGAAAAGCATATTAAGAATATTCTTGGCGTTTAAAATACATTCATTAGTATTTATGGCACAAAAGTCTATAAATTCCCTCCTCTTTGGTGTTTTGGTTTTTGAAATGATTTTCAAAGAATTTTTACTTCAAGAATGAAATCATAAAATGAAAATGAAATGATGTATTGAATTGCATTACAGGACGCGCCGAGTGGTGTCGTACACGAGGACACATTCAAAACAATTTACGCCCGATTCTTCCCCAAAGGCGCTGACACTAACCAATACGCTCACTATGTGTTTAATACATTCGACCCTGATAAAACCGGATCCATCACCTTCACTGTTAGTGCCCATACATATTATAAACCATTAATTATTCAAATGACCTGTCATTGTATAGCAATTAATTACTCTTAAAATTATTGTGATTCTCGCAGGACTTTGTGATAGGACTGTCAGTATTGGCCAGGGGTTCAATTCAGGACAAACTTCGCTGGACTTTCAGTCTCTATGATATCAATAACGACGGAATGATCACTAAAG